GACCGCTCGTTCCACTACATTGAGGAGCGAGCCCGTTGCTAACGAGCGGCGGAATGTCATCTTGGAGCTCAATTAAGGCCGCATGAAAAAGAGATAAAGTTATTTACCTCAGTGAGCTATTCAAACGCCAGGTGACCTTAGTCTATGGCGTTCACACTGCCACCACCAAAATCATGGCGCTAATTCAACCTCTGGTGTTAGTCGCGGAAGCCTTGCGACGTAGTTTCAGTAATTTGGCTGCCTCAGCTGAACATATCCAATATAAAAGGCAACAACCAGGTACCCATATTTGGCCGTGCCATTCAATCAAAAACATCACAATCAATCGCGATGGCCTCTATAACCCTCTCGGACAATGCGCACAAGGCGCTGGAGCCTTTGCACCTCCAAGATCGTATCATCGGTACCATTTTCGGCTCAGCGCTTGGAGACGCAATTGGCTTATACACAGAGTTTCTGTCCGCCGACATCTCAGCAAAAGCATACCCCGACCGCAAGTTTACATTGCTCCCTGCAGAAGAAGCAACGCCTTTTCGACGCGACCATCATAGAAACTTCCATCGTACTGGAGAATGGACAGACGATACCGACCATGCTGTTCTGATACTGCTCTCATTCCTTCATAGCGATGGCCAGAAGCTTGACCCACAAGACTTTGCATCAAGGCTGTCAGTTTGGGTGCGCATGGGGCTGAGAGCACTGGACACCCTGCCTCTTGGTCTTGGACGTACAGTCGGTGGGATCGTGCGCAGCAAATCTTATCTAGATGATCCTGAGGGCACAGCGCGCAAGTTCTGGGTGACGGGGAAGTACAATGCTGCGCCCAATGGCAGTCTGATGAGGACACATCCGCTGGGCCTCATGTGTCTTACCAAGTCCGTTGAGGAGACCTTTCAGATCGCAGCAGATTTCTCTGTCGTCACACACGTTGATCCCAGATGTGTAGTCTCTTGCGCCATTGGCACGGCTCTTGTTCGTGGCCTTGTCCTCGGGGAGATTTACGAAGAGCAACATGTTGATGAGTTGATCGAAACTGGGCTTACGTGGTACAACGAGCTCCGCGAAAAAGAATTGCAGGATCCGGACAGGAAAGACGAGCCTCGCCTGGACATTGACGAGTTCAGAAAGCATGCGACAGCTGAATTTCTCGCGGACCTCAAGTTGGATGAGAGCTACAAGATCGGATACGTTTACAAGACATTTGGCTCTGGCATCCTGCTTCTTCGACTAGCGCTGCGCCAACTCAAGTCTTCCGGACAACTATGCTCCCAGCTTGCCATCTTTGAGAAGCTCATCACCGATCTGACGATGGAAGGCGGGGATGCAGACACAAACGCTTGCTTTGCCGGTGCTCTTTTAGGAGCACTGCTTGGATACAAGACCTTGCCTCCACATTGGCGCGATGGTCTCCGCTATGGGACATGGCTCATGGAGAAGTCCGAGGGACTGTGTGATGTGTTAGGTGTAACGAAGGGCTCATACTCTGGGTCACGGGACAAGGATACTGCGGAAGATGGTGGACGTGGGTTCTTGACGGATGCGCAGATGGAGGAGAAGTGTATGAGGATGCAGGCTTGGATGGCACAGGAGGAAACTGAATGGAAGAAGAAGCAGGAGGCCGACAAGAAGAAACCCAATTGGTTTTCTTGGAAATAGTTATGGAAAGATAAGTGTAGCCTTTCCACGGCATATGTTTGACCGATTTCAATCAATGGGATTATGTTACAGTTCCTGCTCTCTTAAACCGATGTAAACAATGACTTTGGTCCTTGCCAAGCCAATAGCATATATAATACAGTACTAAATGATCATAAATTGAGCATCATATTGAGCATGATCCAACATAAGCAGGGGAATAACGGTCCCCTTTTCGCTCACCCCAAGTCCTCCACCATCTTACTCCCTCATATGGACCTCAGTCTCAAACTTCTCATTACTCTCAGTCTCGCCAGTTTCACCACTGGCGCTCTTCTCAGAAGCCTCTCCAGGCACACCCATGCTGTGATCCCAGTGAAGCAAGACCTTTGGACCAGTGAAGAGCTTGTCGATCTGCTCGAGAGACAACAGCCGGGTCTCGGGGTAGAAAAAGTAGATGAGGGGAACGAAGAAGGCGTTGAAGATGCAGAAGTAGATGTAAGTCTTCCAGCCGATGTTTGAGATGGACACGGGGGTGATCTCGACGACGAGGAAGGTGAAGATCCAGTTGGAGGCTGTTGCAAGGGCGGCGGCGCGAGTACGGATGGCCAAGGGAGCGTATTCGGCGGGCACTGTACTTTGTTAGTTGGGCTGGGCTGGGAGACACTGGGGAGCGTTGACTTACAGAGCCATGGAATGGCGAGTAATCCAACAGCAAAGAAGAAGTCTACCATGGAGTTAGCTAGATTGGTATCATCTTCAGGGGCTGACTTACTGAACAAGAAGAGCATGACAATGGCGACAATACCGGGGCCAGGTTGTTCAGTAGACACGGTTCCAGCCAAGACTGCCATGCAGACTGCTTGACCAGCGGCGGCAAACATCATCAACTTGCGGCGACCGAGACGATCAATGATCCAGATGGGGATAAGCGAAGAGAAGAAGTAGGCGACACCGTTGAAGCCAGCAAGCAGGAGGCTTAGGTTATGGGAAATGCCGACGGATTCTTGGAAGATGACGGGAGCATACTGTAACTTGGTGTTAGTCGCCCGAGACTTATGGAATGGCACTTTCATTGAGTGGACTTACGTATGTAATGAGGTTGATACCGGAAAGCTATTGGAAGAGAGTGTTAGCGAGGATCAAAAAGAGGAAAAGGGGTTGTAATATGGTGCCCTACCTGTTGCATGAACTGTCCACCAATACCAAGCATTGTTCGATACAGGAACTTCTGCTCCCCATTCTTCCACATAGCCTTGAAGCTGCTCGTCTGCGCCGCCTCGCGCTCCTCGTTGATAGCATGCTGAATCTCAGCAATGGCACGGCTGACAGTCTCATCCTCCTTCGAGATAGATTTGGCATCTCGGCGCACAGCCCAAAGAACCTCTCGTGCCTCGTCGTGAAGGTCATGGTTGATGAGCCAACGAGGAGACTCAGGAAGAAGAACAATTCCGATGAAGGTCAAAATGGCGAAGAAGATCTGGAAGGCAAGGGGGAAACGGAACTGAGCGTCATTACTGACGTAGGACATGCCGTAGTCGACCCAGTATGAAAGCATGACGCCGAAGATGTTGATGGCCAGTTCAATGGCGAGACCTTTGCCACGGTTGCTAGCTTTCATGAGTTCAGAGTGCCAGACGGCTGAAGACTGTTAGTAAAGATCTGTGACAAAGTCAGGGGCAACTTACGAATTGTACTGGTGTTCATGCCGTTTCCGAGACCAGCTACAATACGACCAACGATCATCTGAGGGATCCCAAACGCCGATGCTTGGAGAGCGGCTCCGATGCTGAGAACAACACAGCCCATCATGATACACTTGCGACGACCAAAGTACTCGCCGAAGATGAGACAGAAGATGGCGCCGAAGAAGCAACCGATCTCGTAGATAGCGACCACTGTTCCTTGAAGAGAAGAACTGCCATTGCCGCCATCTGTAGTGTCGATCTCGGGAAACGTGTTGGTGAATGCAGTACCTGTCAACAGACCAGACATAACACCCTGGTCATAACCGAAGAGGAGGAAGCCAGAACCAGCTGTGGCCGTGATGGCCCAGTCCAAGGGTCTTCCAACAAGGATCGTCATGATGAAGTGTTGACAAGAAGTGAAGAGATCAAAAGAAGCTATTCAAACAACCAATGCTGATGCTATAAGTCACGCAACAGTAAAAGATGGGGCGACTCCATATCAATATATACTGCTCCGAAGTGACAATTCGGCGACGAGAAAATTAGATCAATTGTTGACTCGCGCAAAACAAGGTTCGTTCCAAGGCCGTGGCATGGGCGCCAGTTCCCCGTGGGGAGTCCACTGTACCGTAACATTGGATCATCTGGGGTTTTTGCGGGTTAGACCAACGGTTCCGGTTTCGAGAGTCGTGAGGCATTTGCAAGCGCTGGAGAGAATATGGGGCATTTAGGCAGCCGAATTCAGGGATGAGGTTCGTGAGTTGCCCAGTTTTTGCGAAAATGTGAGTCGTAGCCGACGAGATGATACGATAATTGCGGATTGGGGGTGTTATTGAAGATGGATGGTTTAGCGAAAATATCTGTCTGTGCATGCAATTGATGTAGTGGAATACGTGGTATCCTCAGGCGGGACAGCTGCAGTATGCCTAAGCGTAGGTTCTTTCTTAGGGGTCTTTTTGATGCAGCCACAAACAATAGTCAATTCCTTGTGCAACTAAGAAAGACAAATGCTTCAATTCCAGAGGATGCAAGCGCAACAACTCTTGAAATTGCTCAATTGATCAAAGAAAAAGCATGGTTTCGATGCCGAAGTAATTGGATGCTTGTCAAGGTCCGCTTATACCTACCAAGATCGGCCACAAGTTGAAGTTCCCCTCCCCATCTCCACTCCTCACTGCAGTACGATCAACCCCAGAATGGCCTCAAGGGGCAAGAAAACACCGAACCTTGATATAGGGTGCCGAAATAAACTTAGCAAAGAATCCCCTAAGCTCAGGCTAAATTTGCCTAATATCTTTATCACTTAGGGTCAAGGTCCTGAGTTTTCTTCCTCACCCAGAATGGGCAATCCCATCTTCGTTAGGGACGACACTAATTCGCTTGCAGATGCCCTGCACCTTGCGCATTGTACATTCTCCAATGGTGCGTATACTTCCCTTATCCGATTCGCTGTGAGATATACTCAAACGGCTGTTTGATGTTTTGCTGACACTTTCGCGAAGAGCATCAGAACCGTGGTCGGATTAGGAATCTGGGAACGCCCTATTGAGAACCATAAGATAAAGATGCCATTCGGTGTCAGAGATGATGGAATAGCAAACAATTCCTTTTGCTTGCAAGGGCTAGCGCTTTGTGTGACCTCGACAACATAACACACGACAAACACTCCTCACAATTATGACAGTCGGTATGTGCTTGTGGAAGCAAGACGAGCCACTTGTTGACCAAAGCCCTCAGGAAAGAGCTTCATCAATGGCGTCGCCAACTCAGTCGAGCGAAGCCTCAGGAGTTGCATCCTCCAAGACCCTTCGCTGAGTCTTATTGCATCAGAAAAGGGTGAGATCGTGACCTACAACAGCACACAAGCAAGCATATACTGACGACCCCTTCAGTGCTCTATCGACGAACAGATCAGACTAATGACAAAGTCATCCTCATTTCCGGTGGAGGTTCTGGTCATGAACCCGCGCACGCAGGATACATCGGCGCGGGAGCATTGGACGTCGTGGTCGCTGGCGAGATCTTTGCCTCCCCTTCCGCTTCTCAGATCCTTACAGGTCTACAGACTGTCAAGTCGTCGAAAGGGTACGCTTATACCCCATAGTAGCCGAGTGCCTGGCTAATCAATGGTAGATCGTTGATGATCGTCAAGAACTACACAGGCGACAAGCTCAACTTCGGCCTCGCAGCAGAGAAGGCAAAGGCAGACGGACAAAAAGTTGAGATGGTCATTGTTGGAGATGATGTGTCAGTCGAGGGAAACACACTTGTCGGCCAGCGTGGTCTTGCAGGAACAGTCTTCTGCCATAAGATCGCTGGTGCAAAGGCAGCTCAGGGGTATGCATATCCATCGTACTGACCGAGCCAAAGCTTACCGACTTACACAGAGCCTCCCTTGAGCAAGTCGCCTCTACCACAAGAAAAGCCGGTTCGCAAATGGCCACTGTCGCGGCGAGTCTCGATCGATGTAGTGTTCCCGGACGGACGACTCAAGAAGCACTTCCCCATGACCAACTCGAATTCGGAATGGGGATACACAACGAGCCGGGTGTCAAGCGTGAAGAAATTACGAGCCTTGAGGTGACAGTTGAGAAGGCATTGGGCATGATGTTCACTCCCAAAGCCAATATGTGGCAACCAGGAAAGGGGCAGCGGGTAGCTCTGATGGTCAACAACCTGGGCGGCTTGAGTGTCTTGGAGATTGGTGTTGTTGCAGATGAGGTGGTAAAGCAATTAGTGCAACGAAGCATACACATCGAAAGGAGTCTTGTTGGCACCTTTATCACCTCTCTTGACGGGCCCGGCTTCTCTGTCACTCTACTGTCACTCGACGATGAGTTGAGGGACTTGCTTGACGCTCCTACTACGGCACCGGCTTGGCCACGTTCGATCCACGGCTGGGCAACAGATGCAGAGTCTGTATCGAAGCGTGAGACGATAGTCCCTGTTGCGAAGGCCAATACTAGGGAGACGGGAGTCAACGGTAAGTCAAGTATGAAGCAATCCTTGAACATTAAACTTATCATTCACAGTGCCGACATCGCTTGTCAAGGTCCTCATCGAATCAGTAGCCCAAACAACAGCAAGGGATGAGCCCAAGATTACAGAATACGACACCCTGGCTGGTGATGGAGATTGTGGAGAGACGCTTCTGAATGGAGTCACTGGTATGTCCTTACCAAGCCTCATCAATCGGCATATAGCAATGCTAATCGTGTCAACGTGCAGGTCTCGTAAAAGAGTTCGAAAATGAAAACGCAGCTTCTCTTGACATCGGCCAAGTCTTCCGACGAACAGCGACAACCGCAGAAAGGAGCATGGGTGGCACATCGGGCGCCATCTATGCCATTTTCCTCAATGCTGTAGCGAACCGACTCTTAGAATTGACCACTGAGTCTCCATCGCTTACGGTCTCCGAGTTCATACAACAAGCTCTTCAGAGCTGCCTGGACGAGCTATGCAGATACACGCCCGCACGAATCGGTCACCGCACACTAATGGACGCGCTTATACCATTCGTCAAGAACTATTCCCGGGATGGCTCACTGAGGGCTGCTCTGGCAGAGGCACGCAAGGGAGCTGAGAGTACACGGCAGATGGTCGCGGCCCTAGGACGGGCGAGCTATGTTGGGCAGGACAGATTCGACGAGGAGGGCGGTATTCCTGACCCCGGAGCTCTTGGTGTTGTAAGTATTCTCGAAGGTCTTTGCGACGGATTGGATACTCGAGCCAATTGAGGTGATTGGTGCAGTCGGCAATTGGAGGGAACTGTCTCTTCGCTTACAAGTTCCTGGCGAATATCTTTAGCCTGCTGATGATGGTGGTCTAGCCAAGTACAGTCAAGGCAGACCAGGGTAAAGAGCACTGTCCACCCACTAAACAACGTCACGCTGCCTGTCCTGGGCACAAAGGGCAATTGTAAGCGGAGGTAAACTAATCCCAGTTGAGCAATGTTTCGAGTTGAAGACTTGTTTGTCGGGGAACCAGAAGAGACTCGCTGTTTTATTCGTTTTAGCATCAATTGCCTGGAAATCAATAGATCATGTCATTGTTTTAGTTCCCTCTAATAGTTTTCTGGAACAATTGCCGATCACGAGTCCTTTCTGGTACCGCAGGAGGACGGACCCCGGATTTTGGCGTCTACAATTGCCCTGCCTCTCCAACTTTTGGACATCTTCACTCTCGCCTTCGCCTTCATCTCCACTCACTCTCCCAATAAGTCACATCACCCAATTCTCACCCGGAATCTCAACTCCGGCTACAGTTGACTTATGAACAATCCCTCCGCATCCCGGGCCCGAGTCCGGTCCGAACCCATCAAGCACAAGCGGACCCGCTCCGGGTGTCTCAATTGCAGACGAAAGAAGCGTAAATGCGATGAGAGTCGACCAGCCTGTGGAACGTGTCGTCGTCGCAATGAGTCTTGCGAATGGGGTCTCAAGATAGCGTTTCGAGCCGAGCATGCTCAATGCTTAAATGCGCGGCATCCTTCGATGCGGAAGATGGCGAGGAGGAGGCAGCCAAGAGAGTTTGAGATTCTGGATGTGACGGATGAAGTCATTCGTGATTACAATGGTGCTGAGACAGAGGAGGAGGATAACGAGACTAGTGACGATCGTGCGCGGACAAGCACTTCTGGTATGAACTTGACCTGCATCATGGGTCGTTTGTATATCTAACATCCTTCTAGGTCGCTCAAACCTCATCGGCAATGGAAGACCTCGCGCCGCAAACAATACGCCAAGTGGCTATGTCTCTATACAGCGACCACCGGTAGTCGATATCTCATCACCGACATCACAGCGCCAGACCGAAAACGCCGTAGCCGATCTACTTTACTTCAGCCAAAACGGGCAATCTCATTCCTCAGTCGACATTGATCCTGCCCTGCAGGTTTCCATGGAGGCGGTCCCAATTGACATGATAGCAGACTATCCGTACATCGACCAGATGCAAGCATTTACCCCTGAAGGTATCTCCGAGGACGGCATCTTCTTGCCAGGCTCTGCGTACCACGAGTTACACTCGACACTTCGTAATCATCTCATTCAAGAGACACGGTCAATTGCCCCAACGAGATCAACAACGCCGCATATAGAGGTTCAAAGCTCAGGCGGCGTCTCCCTGGAAGAGACCGAGATCACGATCCCAATACAGGAGTTTCAGCCCTCTCAGACACCACTACTCTCTCAGCAAGAGGAATGCTCGCTATGGAAGAACTACTTTGACGAAATTGCCCCCTGGCTCGACAAATTCGACCGAGACCGCCATTTCCAGCAGATTATCCCTACAATGAGCAAAGACAATGACCACTTACGATACTCAATGCTGGCCCTCTCAGCACGACAGCTTGAACTCAAGCATACACTACCGACGAATCGTAGCCTCGCCCTCTACCAGGAAGCCATTCATATGCTCCTCCCACATTTACCAACCCGTGGAACGGCGGTCATCGCCACGTGTGTCATTCTGTGCGTGCTGGAGATGTTGAGCTGTTCACCAAAGGCATGGCAACGCCATCTCGATGGCTGTGCGAGTCTCATGGAAGCTGTTGGCATCAATGGATTCGTAGGGGGGACAGAGCAGGCCTTATTCTGGTGCTTTGCGCGTATGGATATCTGCGGCGGCCTCATATCGTCCGTCAAGACTCTGATTCCTATCTGCCATTGGGCCTCCAAGACTTTATCGATTGAAAACGATGTCGAGCTCTTCAAGAATGCTCCAACGTTCGAGGACTGGGCTAACTACGCTGTGTACCTCACGGCTCAAGTGCTGGATCTGTTGGCTGCCTCCCCTACTGATCCAACTCGTGATGAAGCCAAGTTCCGGACTCGATGGCTGAAGTTGTGGAAGTATATCTCTGAATGGTACCAAGAGCGCCCAGCCCCATTGCATCCCATCATGACAATTCCTTCGAGCGAGTCCTCGCCGTTTCCAACGATTTTGTACTCGAATCCTGCTGCCATGTCTGGGAATCAAATGCATCACGCAGCATCGATTCTTATGCTACAGAACCAACCATCGACAGTACGGCTAGGTCATGCTTCAAAACCAAGAAGTATCCTTTGGCATGCTAGACAGGTATGCGGCATAAGCATGTCGAATGAGCACCACGGGGCCTGGACGAATAGTGTGCAACCGCTGTGGATTGCCGGAAGATGCATGAGCCATCCGAGTGAGCATAAAGCGATCTTGGAAATGTTGGACCGGATCGAAAGAGAGAGTGGATGGAGTACAAAATGGAGAGTCGACGATCTGAAGGAATTCTACAAGTGTTCCTTGTCAACTGTATGAACGAGATGATTTATGAAATTCGGAGTTACCAATGGGTCAAAGACAGACGGAGGTATGCAGTTGATATTCTTGGTGATATTTAGCGTTTGTAGGTCCATTGGGACTTGGCTTTTGTTTCATGGACTTTCAAGATTAATTCCAAATGAATCTTTTGTAGGCTGAAGTCCGAGACTGTTCAGGAGTTGACTGTGAAATTTGGAAAACGTTTTTGATATTTACGTTGTTGAGCGGAGGCCTTCTGCTGGGGCTCACGTGCTATGGGAAAATAGGTGAGACTGTCATAGGTCAAAAATAATCCCACACTTCTTGAGCGCAAGTCAACATTGAGATTCCCCTCACCAGTCAACTACCTGGAATCTCAACAAGCTATAATTCTTCCGCATCGCATCACATTCATTTCAATCCTCACTCATTCCTCTTCTCTGTCTTCTTATCATCATGTCGTTGTCCAAGCCCAAGCGTGTTCATGATCTTATCGCCCAGAACCCTCGAGTTCGTGTCTGGGTTCATCCCCTCGAGTGGTCTGAGATTCACCTTCAGCTTCTCAAAGCCTCTTTCATTGAAATTGACACCGACGATGTATCTGAAAATCCTGAAGACGGAACAGTCCAGGTGTCTGACTATCGAGTCGTCAGACAGTTCGCGCAAACCTCGATGAAGAACAAGAACCTAAAGCTCTTGATTTGTGACAACGGACCTCTTAAGCTCCTCCGGTAAGAACCAAGACCTTCGTGTCTCCATGTTTGAGATCCTGACATTGAGATTCTAGTCCTCGTGGGTACTTCTGCTTTGGTGAAGAGAGACCTCTTGATCTTCAGGGCGCGATCTTCAATCAGCGCGGAGCGATTAGCGATGATAGTTACGCTGGGGCGTTCGCTTTCATTCAGGGGAACCTGATCAGAAACCTCCGTGAAGGCCTCTTCCCTCTTCCCAACCGCCTACGCCATGACCCTGCAGCCAAGTGGTTGCGAGAACTGCGAGTCAAGAAGATTGAGCCCGAGGATCAGTGGCGTGACCCCTACATCCTTTGTGTCCTTCTAGGGCTTGCTCAGTCACAGGCAGAGGATAAAACCTCTCCCCAGTATCCTTTCGCTGAGGATCATGTATTCAAGGTAAACCTACCCCTGCTCTTACATGACTCGCCTAGGATGCCTGTTAACACTAGTGTAGACCTGTGCCGCGTTAACTGATGACAAGAACGAGGACTTCATGTATTTCTATACCGCTGAGTTCTCGCTTGCCTTCGTTAGCAAGTTCGAGTATCCCCTAGACCTGGAGAAGCCAAAGGATGCCATGGCCTCCGAGCTGTCCATCGGCATGAAGCAGATCCTTTTCCGGCCCTACAAGACCTTCCGGGCACGCCTACTCGCGGAGATCTCCTCTGCCCTGTAAGCAGACGGAGCTACCTGTCGGTTCAAGTTGGTTCCGGGCTGAGAACCTGCTCAGCATTGGCCGACTGGGATAAAAAAGACCTTTTTGATTTTTTTGTCGGGACGACAACTTCAGCTGAATGAATTAGTGGCATCCTACTGATCATGGATGCACGACATGCATGGATATGGCACCATTTTACTCATTGCTGAAGCCCATATCGAATTTGTTTAGGTAAGTGCTGATCTTTCGGGAGATCATCTATAAAGGTATAAGGCCATTAACAAGCTGACCGCGATAGAACTTTAAGTTCAAATAGGTTGTTATCGGGGATCCCGATAGACGAAGGAAACACCGAACTGCCTATTCGGTTGCGATTCATGTTACATGCCGTACGCATTAGTCTTCAAAGACCATGGCGGAACATGTATACCTAGCTACTTTCCACCAGTCTTTATACAGCTCGTCACTCCAATACGAAACTCTAAACACAATCTATCGTACTACAACGGTGCCGTGGGCGGCTAAGTAGCCTGATTGAAACAAAGTGGCCGGGGTCCCCCTTGCTGGGCTGGGATGGCTCCCCGTGGGATACCGAAACATCGGCCGAATTGCTGTCTCTTCCTGAAGCACGCTCATCACGATCTAGATGAAACCGGGGTGTCTTTTGTTCGCTGCTGGCGGTTTCATGGACGCGTTGCTCCGAAGTTCTCGACCAACTGCCGACTGGGAACCCCTGCTAGTTCCCGTGGGCTTCCCGGGTGGAGATTAGAGGACCTTGAGACTGAATCAGTTGAGGTCAGAAGTTGAATAGCTGAGTAGGTGGTTGTTTGTGATGTTCTGAGTATAAAATGGCCAGTATATTCCTCAAGCTGATGATACTTCCACAGGTCACTCACAGATCGACTACTACTCCTTTATCCAACTTCAAAGATCCTCCTTCGTTCTCCTCTTCACCATGAAGTTCACTTCTGTTCTCCTTGCTGGCCCAGCTCTTGTTGCTGGAAGATATCTCAGTGACGAGGTTACTTCTGGAACTTCAACTCACTACGGCGGCAATGTCTCTGGGGGCAACTGTGGCTTTGTTTCCTACACGATTCCTTCTGGCATCTATGGCACTGCTTTCTCTGGCCCCAACTGGGACAATGCTGGAGTTTGTGGCAGCTGCATCGAAGTCACCGGCCCAACTGGCAAGAAGATCAAGGCCATGGTGAGTACCCTTATGGTCTGATGGTTTGTGTGGTGTGAGCTGATGTATCTTGCTCTTAGATCGTCGACAAGTGCAACGAGTGCAACAAGGGCCACTTGGATCTCTTTGACAATGCCTTTACTGCTGTTGGCGGTACAAACGGCCTAGTTCAGACCAGCTGGAGACTGATTTCTTGTGATATCACTACTCCCTTGGTGCTTCGTAACAAAGAAGGTGAGTTGGCAATATGCTTCTCCTGCCACACCCCAAGTCCAACAGCTAACGTTATCTCAGGCACCAGCGCCCACTGGTTCAGCATGCAAGTCCGCAACAGCAATCTCCCCGTCAAGAGCCTCGAAGTCAGCACCAACAGCGGAAAGACCTGGACCGGAACGACCCGACGTGACTACAACTTCTTCGAGAACCCCAGCGGCTTTCAGGTCGATACCGTCGATGTCAGAATCACCAGCTCCACCGGCAGCACCATCATCGTCAAGAACGTCGGGGCCAAGCCTTCGACTGAATACCCTGCCAGCGGTAACTTTGCTTAAGATATCGGAGTTATTTCCCTGTTCCGGAGAGAACAGTTGGCAATGGAGGGTTGGTGGAACGCTGCTAGGAAGATGATTTGATGAAGGAAATATTGGGGGCCGTTCTTGGAAGACTGTACATATTTAGATTCTCCGTATATATCGCTCTTTTCGTCGATGGCATCATGAGCTTGACAATCTCTCCTCAGTGAAGTCTTAGAGTAGAACCATGTCCACTTGATGAAAAAGTGCTAATGTAGAATATGTCCGCTTACATGAGCAGTCCGAGATTATTTCTCACTGTGAACCGAAGAGCCAAATTCTAGATATCGATTTTAGGCGCTGCTCTCAACATGATTGGTCGGCTCAATGTTGCTTGGCGTCGGATATACGTGGAATCTGACGTCTGTTTTCCATCTACACAGACCATCCAAACACTTTCACCTCACACCATCTTATCTCAGAAATACCCGGCATAGACAAGCGATGTCAGCTCTAGACGTCAGCAAAGCGGCCATTCCATCATGCTGCGGGCGTGTATTTTTAGCGCTTATAAGACACGTATAAATGAGCATTTCCTGGTTTTTGAAAATGGTTTCTTTGCAAGACGCCTGGATTTACCGATAGCTAACTGTTCTCTTTCTTGATTTTCATTAGGCCAAGCAGCGTTGCTAAAGCTATTACCAAACTCTCTCAACATGTCCAGTCCAGGGGCAAGCGAGGAGACTACCCTCCTTGATACCTTCGACTCTCACGAGACCCAAGAACTCTACAATATCAAGCCCCATCCGACCACCGGCCGCCTCATAGATTCCTACTCAGTCACTCGTACAAAGCCTATGCGCGTCCTATGCCTCGGGCAATCAAGAACAGGCACCACGGCCCTCTTCATGGCCCTTAAGAAACTAGGCTACACCCCATACCACATGTCCCTCTCCCTCAACAGCCCCAAGACGAACCTTGGTCTCTGGCGTGAAGCCCTCGATGCCAAGTACTACGGCAAGGGCAAGCCCTGGGGCCGTGAAGAATTTGACAAGATACTCGGACCTTATGATGCTGTAGCTGATGTGCCAGCTATCTGCTTCGTTGAAGAGCTCGTGGCCGCTTACCCTGACGCCAAAGTTATCGTCACCCAGCGTGATGTTGACAGTTGGCTTCGAAGTATGGACTCGACGGGAGGCCGAGTCCTCCGGTGGCCTCTATGGAATACCCTCGCGAGATGGGATACTAAACTAGCTGGCCCATTTTGGGAGTTTTCAGAGAAGGCCATGCCCGCCAACTTCCATACCATGACAGACTTCTCTGATAAGTCACCGGCTCGCCAGGCCTTTCACGATCACTACGACCTCGTCAAGAGGATAGTGCCAGCAGAAAGAATGCTCGAGTTTAAAGTCCAAGAGGGATGGGGCCCGCTTTGCAAATTTCTGGATAAGGAGATCCCTGAGGGGGAGTTCCCAAAGTTGAATGATTCAAAACAGTTCGTTTTGGCGCATAGCTTGATATGGTGGATTGCTTTTGCCAAGATGGTTGGGAAGGCTTCTTTCATGACTGCTGTATCCGGAGTCATTGCCTCGATATTTGCGATGTGGAGGTTGAAATATGCTGTGAGGATTGCTGCTATGCTTAGGCCGATCGCCGACTTGTCTTGATTTACTAGGTCTTGTAAGTGAAAACCACGGTCTCTTGTTTGATTTTGCTAACAACTGACTCGCAGCTTGACAACCAAATAGTTGAATACGATTTCTTGCTTCCAAGGTAGCCATTGTGACCGAGTGCCATGCCCAGGGTCGCTTGATATCAGATGCATCATCCACATCCGCCATATTACACCAGATTCAGTCTTCCGCATCTACCGGGATCCGTTGACCATAATTCCCTCGAGCTCCTGAATAATCGACTTACTCAGGACAATCTTTCCGGCTGGTGGTCAAGGGATGATTTTCGAACAGACTTCACCTGATCGACATCAACGTTTTCAGGCGTAACTCTAAATCCATCCGTGCTCGAGACTTACAGTCTAGGCTGTCCTACTAAGTATGAGTGCTAAGCTATTGAACTTTGGCGTAGTCCGTCCGTCTGGTGGCCATGCCCTTTTATGTTAGTTAGTCCCAATTGTCCTCTCACCGGCTTAGTCCAACACAGCACAGTGTTTCACCGTATCTGGTCTAGTTCCGCTCGGTTCATCTACCGAACGACCCAAATACCTGGGATTCAAGAGTCAAGACGGGCACTATCCCCAGTTCAACCATATTTGAGACCGTTTCTTGCTATACGAGCCGGCGAACCGGCTGTCACGTCCTTCAGGTACAGGGTCCTCTAGTTACTAGTAATTATGCGTTATCGTTCAGTGTAGCTCCAACCTTAACCAGTGAATTCCAGGCACTGCGGTCTTTACGACAATGGACTGTGGCTTGAGTTCCCTCGCGCTAATGCTACGGAAAGCGTCTAGTGATGCGCCAATTCGGACGAGCTGGGAATGGTGGCTCCTTTGTTCGTAGGTCTCGAATGTCTCACATTCCTCATGATGCCGCGGGCTTGACTTGGACCTGAATCTTATAATTCAAATGCCACTATGAGACCTCGTATAAGTTTCGAAGCTTTCACTCGAATTCTCTGCCAAGACCTTATTCTGTATCGTACTTCACATCTCAAATCTTATATCATGAAATTCATCACAAGCCTTATTCTCCTGGCCGCGACCTATGCATCAGCGAAGCCTTCCGGAACGACAGAGTGTGCAGCGATCTACCAGAGATGTATTGAAACAATAACAGTACGAGAGAAGTTTTCCTAGTGTTAGTTCTAAGCTAATGTCTCGATAGCCGCAAGAGTGCAAGAAGACGGATCGAGATTGTCTTTGCAAAGCTTGGGATGATGTTATAACGTATGTGCAAGCTTGAAATCTGTCCGACTTCACCTAACCTGATACTAACGATGATCTCTGTAGATGTTTAGTCGACTGTCCAAATACTCCCCGCTACTGGTTAGCGAAGGAAAACGCCAGGGGCTTCTGTACATAAGATCGATAAATATACAAGCGTGCATTTCGTCTCTTTTTCAATCTTGCTCTCCACCTTTTACGGGACAAGCTAGACCACGAGGAGGGTCTCACGGCACCCCCTGTTATCGTTGCCTATTCACAACAGCTTGGGTATATCAGAATGGCATTTATGAACCGAGCCTCGGATGAAAGTCTGCAAGAACTACTAAGCTGGAGGCGCCGTACCCTCGATTCGATCACACGCAATGTTGCTGGGACATGGCCCTCGTCGTTTCACGTTACAAGACAGGGCCAAGAAGGATATCGATCCTGAAATGAACATTAGGGGGCCTGTTTTATTAGCATCTTTTACATGCACATCATGACCAACTTGCAAGTCAAATCCCTTGAGACCTTCCCAGTCAAGCCCCTGTTCCACTTGTTAATCTATCGTGGGACATATGCTACCTATTCAGTAGCTAAAGACTGCAAAGAATTCCACAGTGTAACTGATCAATGATATGCCTGAAATCTCTCCTATATTCATAGACTGTTTCATAAATCTGATTGGATCTTTACGCTCGACCTCATTCTCCTAAGAATTGGTTCGAATTAGCTTTTGCGGTCATTGACCTTTCGGCACTCTCGTGTCACTCCATTGTAGGGTAGTTCCACGGAACCAGGTTGACGAGGAGTCAGTGGTCCTTGTAACTCGGCTGTTTGGCGGTTCGCTGGAACATCAGATGGCTTCGATCCAACCAACTCCTTGGGTCCATTATCCGTTCCTGTCTGACCCGGTGTCACAGCCATCCCCTTCCCCGTCTCTGGTGTCGTCTCCAGCTTCTGCGCAGACTTCCTTCGAAGCAAATATATAACCGCAACAGCAGTTCCGCAAACCACAGCCAGGCCGCCGACTATTGCACCTGTGTCACTCCTCGATTCAGATCGATTGCCATTAAAAACCTCGGCAGTGGCTTCTGTGGCGCTTCCCGACGAGGTGGTGCTTGTCTCTGTTACAGCTGTTGTGTCGCTGGAAGGTTTCGATGTCTCACTTGTCGACGTCGTTTGTGAAACGGGTTTTGTCAATGCCGGGGCTTTGGGGGTGATGTAAAAGGTATCTGTTGCAGCGACGGCACCGCAGGCGACGTAGGTGTATTTGTGACCTTCGTCCATAATCAGGTATGCAAAACTGAGGTATTCGAGCTTCTTGATATGAATCTGTTAGTTACTTACCAAGCGTTATGGGTTTGTAGGACCAGGATGTCATTCTGAACTTGGGGTTCTCTGTCTTCGCGCAGCCACCTGCGCATTCATGCTGATCACGACATGGCCAGCGAGAGGTACATTTGGAGTCGCCGGCACTCTTACATATGTCCCAAAGGCCATTTTGGGTACTGAAGCGACACACTCTGCCAGACTCGGCTGTCGTCATCATGGCTGCCGGGTCCATATTATCATTTCAGAAGGTAATTCGTACAGCGCGTCGTTCAAGGCGTTCGGGCGCCTGGCTGGGCTGCAATGTCTCAGTTGCAGTGGGAAGTTTGGCGTAGAGTGTATTGCTGTGGCATATGTATAACTGAAACAATTGGAGAGTCCATATTATTTGCTGCGTATTGGGCTGTTTTGTCTCACACGAGAGGGGAAGAGGCACACGAAAATGGACAGCGAAAGAGAGGAACTGCACCTGATTTAATTGTCCATATGTTCTATGTCTGCTCGACTGCGGGGATAAATCAAGATGAATTCAATGTCCAACTCGACAATCCAGAATAATTGTCAAGGATCGCATGTGTTGGTAGTGTCGAAGAGCTGTATTGACACCGTTTTGGACGGTTGACGTCAACCGTTTTCATCGGAACTCGACGCCATGTTCCTTGCAGCAAATCGTTATCTTAACGGCATGTTCATTGGGTGATCCCACTTGGCATCTGACTTGGCTCGATAGGGCAAGTTCCATTGCCATTAACCCTTGCAGAGTCTGTCTGTGATCCTTGTCTGCTGCAAGTTGAGTGATTAACCCATCCAAGCTCCAATGATGAGA